GGAACCGCTATTCGTAGACTCATATATAGCCATCACATGTACAACTACTAAACTAGATTGCACTTTAGTAAATTACCTTCCGAGACTCCAATCTCCGTCAATGGGATTTCACGCCAAGAGTTGTGTCAGGATCAGGCGAGGAACAACGTATACAGATATTTACGTAAGAGTTAAAATAAAAAACAATTTATTAACGACATAATTACAATAGTATATTCTGCGTGTGGAAAGCAATAGTTTTCTCTTTATACATCGTTTTGTTGTTTGTTTGTTTATCTCGGACTGTGTTCGACAATAGTTTCCTCATCGATTTAAATCACAAGCCTACTATAAAATATCTGCACTCGATATATACTATAATTCTTGTCCATCGTGCGTGTCCGCGTGTGTGTAATTCGTTTTGACCTCTTCCCTTCCTTCCATCTCCGAAACAATCGCGACAATTTATATGTACTCGATTTTTGTTTTTAAATAAGCGCGAATTTTACACGGCAAGCCACATGCAACAGAACAGCCGCGAACATTATGTATATATATATATATATATAAATTTTTCTCGATAAAATTCGTTTACGCACAATCGAGTGCAACAATGCTTTCACGCATTTCACGTCTGCACTCAAACACCACGGACTTTTCCTCTAAAAAAATAATATGACACTTGGATGCCTGGAGAAATTCATGTGTTTTACAATACACTAAAAAAATTCCTACGTGCAAAATTTAAACTAAATAAAATTTATTTATAAATGATTAATATATTAAATCTGTATAGATTTTAGGTTCTCGTAAAGACGTTAGCAACCTCGGCAGAATTCCATTCATTTTTTTACAAAATATAATTACATACGTAAAGAACAAGACTTGTGTATAATTTAAATATTTCCAACGCGTATGAAACATGTAGAAAAACAATGGAAGCAGATCTTGTTTTATGTTACAGCTGCTTTTTTTTAAAAGAAAAAAAAAGAGATGAGAACGTCGCAGCATTGCACTCGTTTGTACTACGACGATGTTATCTGCTCACCGTAAAGTAACGACACGCAGCCGTGTCTAAAAGTTGCTATTGCTATGCTCGAACGGGATTAATCGCGGAGAAAAATTTCTGTCTAATGACGCTATTCTATAAGTTTTTCTTATAAAATTCAGCTACATCACTGTACAAAACGAACGGTGAGAACAAAATGAATTAAGCCGCGCCGCTACGAGACATTATATTAGTACGGTTACACAGTGACAGATAACACTTCTGATTGTGTTCCCGATTAAGAAATTCGTTTGGTTCGCAAACCTTTATTCCAACACACGCATATTTTGTTTCCGCATTGTTCAAATGAGAAAATGCCGATATCGTTATATTTCAAATCTTCGGCAACTACTTTTCGGTACTCTACACGCATCAACTTACATGATTAATACGCGATTTAACGATTTGCACGTTGGTAAAATATAGTTCAGACGTAGTGAAATATAAGAATAAAACACGAAAACACACAATGAGAAACGAGCGAGAAATATAGATGATTATTTGAAAATTTAGTTAATTATTTATATAAAAATTTTTGAAAACTTTCCTCTCTCTCTCTCTCTCTCTCTCTCTCTCTTTCTTTCTTTCTTTCTTTCTCGGTCTCTTTCTGCCTTTTTTCTGAAATTTCCAGATTATTTTATAAAATTAATGTTTTGAATATTTTAAATAAGTGAGTTATTTAAAATATATTTTATTCTTTGACTTCACATTACGTCTCAACTCGTAATCCTTAGTAAGTTTGTTTTTTTGTTTCGCATACGTTGCACGTGACAAATATTACAAAATGGTTATTTAAAAGCAGTTTTTGCGCAAATCGTAACTTTACGAGGCGATTGGAGAATCATCGTCACGCGTGACACGATTCACCTTGACCTTGATGAGTAATACATGGAACGCAATAGACTCCACCGATAAATAACTGTTCTACGAAGTGGTTTCGTATTATCGAATTGGTAGCGCTAATTTTCTGCAACTTTTTTTTTATTTTAGTGTCAACACGCGATCTTCGCGTAAAGTAACTTAAAACGCAATGATAGCTAGAATTGTGTTCACCTTCATTTTAAAACACAATATTCTCAGAACGTTCTTATAAACGAAGATAGTTTAGATGAACATTTTCTTTTAACAAAGCGATAAGTTTGTTATATTTCTCATCCAGGTGTAAAGTGCACTGATTAAATATATTCGGAAGAACGATTCTGCAATAATTCGAACGCTTATGAATTATTTTTTTTTTTTTTTATCTTTGCCGTACGCGACACACGTGCGCGCGCATGTGATTAATCGTTTACGCAATGACATTACATGATCGAGGATTCTACGTATCGTGTGACAGAACGGAATTATGGGACTATGAGAAAGACAGCTATGACGAGAAGAAAGACGAGAAAAAGACACGAAGCAAAAGCTCCGGGACGTACTATTGCCAACGAATAAAAAAAAAAAAAAAAATAAAAAATAAACGTCCAGGAGACGATCGCTATTCGTCGAGAAAAAAACAAAAGAAAAAAAGATCTTTTGCTGAAGAAACAAAAAAAACTTAACATCTATTAGAGTAAGAATTAGCTAGGAGAGATCTATATCGCGGTTGTTTTTTCATTTAAATTAACCGTAAATTAACAACTAATCAGTTATTCGTACACAAATCATCAAGAACCAGCTAGCGAGCAAAACACGAGCGAAACCGTGAGATTGAGATGATATATTACCGTACGTTTAACACACCCGTAATACGTTTCTTCATCATACGCGACATATTAATAATAAAAAAGTCGTGATGGCAGTACAGCAGTAAACCAAATTAAACACCGGAGTCCGAATTGCCTTTGTTCTCAGTAACATTTAGTTGCCTCGTTTTAATATTTACAGTGTACATCGATCAATCAATACCGTTAAGTCTACTTGGAGATTTCCCTCTCACGTGTCCTCAGAATTACGTTTACATCAAATGTGTGTAAGTTAGCTCGGTGTACGTGTGTACAATACATTTCGTCAACCAACCGCTACATTATTAATTAAACGTTCTCGTCTCTCACCTTCGAGAAAGGAAAAAAAATCTACACCCACTTCGAATCAGCACATCTAATTGTTTGTAACATCTAAATTGTTAGCGCGTATTACACTTCTCTCTTTTGCTAAAAGATGTCTATATAATATATATATGTACCTTTTTTTTACATATATATATATGTACTTATATATATTTATATATATATATATATATATGCACTGGTTCCAGGGCACCGAAACTTGTTGCGTCGAAGGCATCTCGTGGCTATTGTTGTATCATTTATTTAGACTTTCTCTTTAAATAAATAAATTGTGATCACTTCTTCGTTTGTTTTTTTTTCTTTTTGTTTTTTTTTTCTTTTTTACTTAGTAGCATGGACGTTAGAGCATCTGTACTCAACGGCGACAAGGAGAGACTAATGGTTTATTCCGTAACTCCCTAACTTTCCCCGCTTACGTCATTACTCGTCGATTTAACTTCTAGCATATAATGCAGAAAATAGTTCTTACTTTTTTTTTTGTTTAACTACTTTTCTTCGCGAGAGTAAATTTTATCATCTTTTTCTCCTCGTTTAACATTTTACTGGCTTAACTGGTAGGTAACACCGTAACCTAGGCGCTCTCTGCAATCGTTAGACTATCTCTCAGAGACTTTACTCTGTAAACGGTATTAAGATACATATGCAGGCGGAGGTGGTTCGTACGAAACTAATCTCTTCGTCAAATATACAGCGCAGCGTAACTGGCATGATTATTTTTTTTTTTTTAAGTAGAGACACGCCGAAACGTTACGAGGAAGGAGCATCGAGAGTTCTTTTTTTTTATACATGTGTACTATATTATCCCACAACGTGATTACATTTCGAACGCGTGTGTGTGCATTTCTTTCCTTTTATGCATAGGTACTTCTGTTGTGTATGTGTATGTATTTACGTTTGTTTTACCTTAAGTGTTACCTAGTCTTTATCATTATTACGCTATTTTATTACCAAGGTGCCCTGGTTGTCAGCAAAACTACGAAATGTAAATCGTAAAATTGTTTTCACAGTGCTATCGAAAGAAAAAGGTATCCGGTTCCGCAGAGTGTTTAAAAAACACACGGGTACGTACGCGTTTTGTGTACGTGATTTGTTTACACGTCGTCGCAACACTACCGTTTACTTCATATCATTTTTTTCCCATCGGAGAAGTGGCTTGTCTGGCTCATTTTCTTTCGGTTTTTAAACGTACGGGTTTGTTTTTGTTTGGGCTGTCTGTTAGGAACCTTAATAAGGCAACGAAGGAGCCCTGAACCTTAAGTGTAATCTTTCTTTCTCCCTTCTTACGCCTTTTTTTTTTCGATATCTTTTAAAGCCTAACGCATTCCGTTATTCGTGTATTCAGACACGGCTAAAATGTTTATTATTGCCTTATAAGAGAAAGAGAGAAAAAACAGAGAGAGACCCGGTGTCCGGAAGAATGTCATCATGATGTTAAAATTGTATTTAACACAGTAAAACGTGTAAAATATATCGGAACTTGAGATGTGAGGCTCCGCGCGTGTCGGTATCGTTTCAAATTTTTATGTTTGTGTTCACAGGCTAAAGCTCTCAGAAGTAGCGCCTTTTTTCTTTTAAATATATAATATTATAAAATTCTATCGCAATTCTCTTTCATCACAACAATTTTTAAATCTTCAAGACAAATCGAGATAGTAAATCACACGTATATACAACATCAATAAAAGCATAGCATCCGCGCAACGGACAAAACGGTCCCATCATGAAGATAGCAGAAACTTTTAACAACATCACATATATCACAGAGTTATTAATTATAAATACAACGTTTTAAGAGAAAGACAGAGAGAGAGAGAGAAAGAGAGAGAGAGAAAGAGAGAGAGAGAGAAAGAGAGAGAGAGAGAGAGAGAGAGAGAGAGAGAGANAGAGAGAGAGAGAGAGAGAGAGAGAGAGAGAGAGAGAGAGAGAGACAGAGAGAGAGAGAGAGAGACAGAGAGAGAGACAGAGAGAGAGAGAGAGAGACAGAGAGAAACAGAGAGCTTAATTCAAGAGCTTAGCGGAACGTTTTGCGCTCCTGTGACACAAATATAACACCTCTTATAATAATTCCGTTTCAACGCGCGTCGCACGGATAAATAAAAAAGTGATCTGCGAGTGACTTGTGAGAACCATGTGAAACCGAGACTCTCTCCAACCGTTTTCCATTCAATACCATTACCACAGAGAGCTTATTATGCTACGTTTCGCACAAAACGCTTCCTCCGCGGTACGACGAAAATAAAAAATATAACGCTCCTCGAGGACACGAGGATCAACGTGAGTCACACAACAAAAGATTTCGTCGCCGTTATCGACATGCGCGTCGAGGCATGCGATCATTTGTGTATATCTTTTTATCACTTCACTCTTCCGCCTAACGTGTTCGCGTCTAAGCTGCGACCAAGTATGTTGTCGATACTTCATGATAACGCCAAATATTCACATGACAATGACTCGTGCTCATCACGCGTATATACAAAATAAGAATAAACTCCGAGTCCGAGTCGAACCGCACTCGACAGCGAGAGACAGGTCAGCCGTTTGCTGTGCGCGACGCTGTTGTCGTTGATGACGGCGGATGAGAATGATGTACCAAGGCCGGAATTTCGATCACGTCAGCCGGCTGATGATTGGCAGCGGCGCTAGTGATCGAACAGGAAGTGAGGGGTTGCTATTTCTTGGTCGGCGTGCCTCGTTGCGTAAGACCCTCGAAGCGCTTGAAGGTATAATTGATGAACACCCAGTCCTTGTATATCACCTCGCCGTCCTGTGGCATCGGCGCGGACGCTGCAGCACGATACGAAAATAGACACGCAATTAGATTACGTCATGAAAATAAATAGATACAATGACAACGAGGAGACGAATTTACACATACGTATTTCCAGTTTCACGTCCGGAAACTCGTCAAAATTGGACGTGTCGTCGATGGAACGCACTTCAACTGGTATAGCGGCAGGTCTTTCTCTAATGTGTTCCCAATCGACACCGCGGAAGAAGGGCGCCAACTTGAGCTCTTCGATACCTCTTTGCGCACCTGAAAAGAAATAATCACAGTCGTTGGTTGTACAACGGAGAACGATTTTCTCCTATTTTTATAATTTCACAAGATGAAAATCTTAGGGTATTCACCTAATCTTCTGTCGGCTTCGCAGCAAAATCTGATAATGGTGTCCTTAGCCTCTTCGCTAATGGGAACTTCGGGCGGAAACACTAGAGTTTCTCGCCAGTTCATTACTTTTCTATACGTTTCCTGTGGATTCTCGCTACAGAACGGTGGATATCCTGTAAAATAATAGCAACATTTGCGTCGCGTTAGCGTTTATTTTTCACAATTACTTGAATCATTATAGTGATACGCCGATTTAATCTTTTTGCTTCAAAGAAAGTATATATGTTATATTAAAGTTTATAGAACAGAAAACGCAATTGCGTCGTGAGCATTCTGTATGACAACATCGAGTTGTCAACGACGCGTTCGGTCCGCAACGATCACATTTTGTCACAAGTCGCGCGTCGGAGCAAAAAGATTAAAAAGAAAAACAACAAACAAGAGTCTGATTACCTATAAGCATCTCGTACATGATAACTCCTAGAGACCAACAGTCGCAGGCAGGTCCGTAACCAGTTTGCAGGAACACTTCCGGCGCGATATAGTCGGGAGTGCCCACTGTGCTATAAGCTAACGCTCTCCTATTTCTCTTCCAGCTCTCGGCTCTTCTTTTGCTGTCCATTGCGCCACCGCTACCACTCCCGCATGATGTCACTGCGCAAGAAACAGACGGAACGTCAGTTAAGATAGTAAAAGATGAGACTTATTATAAACGACATTTCTCTCCTTTTGACGCGCGCGCGCGAGTAAGTTCACTCACTGAAATCGGAAGGTTTCGCTTGACTTAGGTCCCGATAAAAGTCGGTTCGGTGCGATTTCTTCAGACCCGTGCACAGCCCAAAGTCAGAGAGTTTTATGTGGCCCCGTGCGTCCAGCAACAGGTTGTCTGGCTTGATGTCTCTGTGAAAAAAAAAAAAAAAAAACAATCAAATTAATACGAACAATTTGGTAATTTTTACAAACTCGTTGACAATGAGGACAAAAAAAACGTACCTATGGATAAAACCTAATTTATGTATGGAGTCGATCGCTAACGCCGTTTCGGAAATATAAAATTGCGTGCACTCTTCGGAAAGAGTATCCTTCTTCATAAGTAGCGTCATCATGTCACCTGCAACCATTTGTTTTCCCGCTTAAGTGCCCGCTCGAGATAAAAAGTCTTCTTCTCGTTTTCAAGCTCGTCGCTGAATATATTTAATAGCCAAACTTACCGCCGGGAAGAAACTCCATTATCAGATAGAGATTTATAGGATCCTGGAAACTGTAATACATTTTTACGACCCACTGATGATCCGCTTCCACGAGGACGTCTCTCTCCGCTCTGACGTGAGCAACCTGTTCCTTTTCGAGCATATCCGCCTTCCGTAAAATCTTCATCGCGTATACGTGTCCGGTGTCCTTCTTTTGCACGAGTCTCACCTGTTTAAATGTTTCGTTTCGGTGAAAAAACGTTCGTTTTTTTTTTTCGAGTGAAAAGCAGCGAAACAAGATTTCCGTCGAGAGCAATTAAAAGAGCGTTTCCGCGTCGTCCACAATTTCAGATTTTTATACCAAAGAAATTCCACTTACTCCGCGAAGCGAGGAGAAGCGCTACTTTTTCTGAGAAGTAATGAGATAATTTCGCTCTCTCACGAACGTGACCACCGCTCTCGAGAGAGCAGTCTTTTGTATATTTCCGTTATTATTATAATTGTTGTAACTGTGAGGTTCAATCTTCATCTCTAATGCGCAAATTGCCGCGTAAACTGCGAGTCATTTATACATGGCACACATACGATGACTATATCATTTAAGATTAAGCCGTTTATAAATAAAAGATCACAATTTGCGATTTTCTCCGCGAGAGAAAACGAAAATGCGCGCTATAGTATGTTTGTTTAATGCTTTGTTCGTGAGATAATAATAAAAGTGTGTTCTCCTCGATCAGACAACAATTTAATCAAATTAATTTATTAATTCCGTCACCAATTTATTAGGGTAAACCCGGGTAAAATGGCCATAGTTTTCTTTAAATGCAAAAAACGGACCTTTATTTTTGTTATTTTTTAATATTGTTTTCTTATTTTACTTCACCGAAGCTTAAAGTAATAATAACTATCGAAATTAAAGAGAAAACACTTAACAGAAATTTAATATTATATAAAATATTAAAATGTATGCATTGGCCATCTTACCTTTTTAACATTTAAGGGAAAGATGGCCATACATGTTTTTTTTGTAAAAGATATAAGTAAAACTTATAATTATGTAATTTAATTATATATTTAGTAATTATATGTTAAATACAATATATTTATTGTACGTAAAAGATTATTACATATTGTTGTTAATGTTTTCATGCACAGTATTTTTTTAATTATGAAACGCAACTTTATGTGAACTATAAACACAATGAGCAAAAAAAAACATTTTTATTTCGATGATTAAATACATTGTAGATTATACTAGTATAAAAAATATATATATATATATAATTATATGTAACTTTTAAAAAAAAAAAATGGGCCATCTTTCCCGAAGTGTGAGGAAAAGATAACATAGTATTTATAAATAAATAATGAAAATAAAAATACACATTATTGGTTACATTATAATTTATGTGCCTTTATCATGTATGTAATATTGATTACGGCAGTTTAACTGTAATTTATTCGACGTTACAGCAGCTTTTAGTGGACGTAAAACTTTGCAGGCAATCGAAAGTAAAAACATTATATAAATTTTCACAATATTGTTATTTTAAATAGAGTGTACGCACATAAACTACTGTAAATACTGATTATCTTTAAGAATGGTTACAAAAATGCACTATTAAACAATGATTGGTGAAAGTACAGTCTATGGCCATCTTTTCCGTATGGTCACAATACCCCATTTACTCTATTGTTATTTATGCTATCGATTTTTTTCTTTTTTTTTACCTCGCCAAAGGCACCTCTGCCGATAACCTTGAGAGGCTCGAAATCTTCGACACCGAGCCTGGACCGCTTGAGTCGAAGAAACTCAGTCTCCTTCTGGGCATGTTGCAGTCTTTTCTCCTGCTTCTGCTGTTCCGAGAGACCTTCATCCTTGAGCGACTCTTCGAGCTTTGCCAGCCTCTGCTTCCGCTCGATGTGCTGCGCTATCAGATTACTGTAATAGTTCTCCAGCGTAACCTGCAAAGAGGCAAAATGCACACGCGGTGCCTCGATTATCATCTTATCAAGCCGACTGTGATAACCTCCTCCACCTCCGCCAACTATGTTGTCGCGAGTGTGTTTCAACGTAACGCTTCGATCGATAACGCTTTATCTTGCGTACGACAAAACCACTTCCGGTGGCCGCGCCGCCACGGCTGCTGCACGATTATTATGCACATCGAGATCGCGTTCGCGTTCACCGTTCGCGAGACACGTCGGAACCAATGTTATTTTTTGGTAAGTTTCCCATGAATGAACATTGCGAAAATTCCGCAATCTTCCTAACTAAAAGTTATCTCCTTGCTCGTAACACCAAACGAAGACATTCTAATAATAACTGACGCGTTAACTGAGAGTTTAGTTATTTCGCTTACATTTTCTTGTTATTTTAATTTTCTTGCTATTTTAATTAGATTCGCAGTTGTGTTGCGAATGAAAATAAAATAAAATTAAAGACGTTATATATATATATATATATTATTACGAAAGAGGAAAACTTGTCTAATTAAAATTGAGTTAATTAGAAATGTAATTACTGGCTATCGTGACTGTAATTTGTGTTTCGAAAAAAGAAGACAGAAGCTAACAGTGAACAAATAAGAGGCAGATAAAAAAAACAAAAAAAGACGCACTGTTTATATGAAAGAAAAAGTTACTATTCTTTGTTACTTTCTTGAAAGAAATTAAAAATATTTTTTTTTTTTACATAATAGTTATTAAGAAATTAATTTAATATAAACACCTTTCAAAACTATTGCCGAGTAAGTGATTCGTTACCTCATTTTTTTATTTGTCGGAGAAGCAGTAAAAAGCCAGAAGTTTGCAATTTCTGCGAACGTTTCTAATCCAATTTTTTGCGGTTTCATAATTTTCCACACTTTTAGCAACCTCTTTCTCGTTTAGTTCAAAAGCTCGCACACAGCTATCGTTGACCATGAGCAACTTCATTCGCTACGCTCAACAATTACTATCAGCGGAATTATCGAGCATCGTCGGCAATAAACGAACAAATATTAAGCAATCGTTGTGTAATTAGTGGTAAACAGTAATTAGTGGAAAGAATTAACCAACCGGACTTTCGGTAATGTTTCGCAAAAAAAACCATATGTAATTATATTACCTGAGAAGTTTTAGATTCAGTGGAAAATTTCGTAATTCGATGAGTAATTCAGTATATGATTCATCGCAAACATTATCTCGCAATCTCAACATTATTTTGGCTCATTACTTACTTTCAACATAAAAAAAGAGAGAGTTAGACAATGTGTTGATGCAAGGTTTGAAAAATTCAAGATATCTCAATTATTTTTACTATTACTTATTATTAAATATATCTTAATTATTTACTTTTACTTAAGATACACAGTAAAAAAAAATGGTAATTTTAACATTTTTTGCATGTTCCAGGAAGTCCACTCTAAATTTTACGTTAAAATAACTCATTCGTTGTGAGTCACTTATTGACAAACTAGTAAAGTCAAATACTTAACACAATACTTTACATTTATATTTGTTATTTTGACTGTAAGCATGATGTAAAAATAACATATAAAATAATTAAAACTACACAAAACAGTAGTTACAGTAATTCGTAAGAAATGTTAATAAAACATTTTAGTTTGTACAATGTGACCAAAGATTTTTAAAATTTTTTTAGTATGTTAAATTGACTTGGAGACATCTAGATTAATTGAAATCATTGTGTTAAAAGCACTTAAACAATATTCCATTTTTAGATGACATGCAAAAAATGTTAATTTGTGAAGTTAACATGAATTTAACACGTGAAAAGATGAAAAAAATAATAACATATCAGTATTATGTTAATTTTACATTGAAATAATAATCAAAACGTCGTAACACAAGAAAAGTCTACATTTTGACGCACGATTTTTTACTGTGTATTTATCGCGCGACAGTCCCATTCAAAAGTTTGATTCTACGCTATCAAAAAGTACTCTCAGAACTCGATTCACACGTACGAAATACTTCAGACTCTATTTTATCAGCACGTCATTAGTTTAGAAATAAATAAACAGTTTTGTTATGTTCAAAACGTCCGTAAATAATTTTATTTTCTTTCGCCGATGCGTAAACTTTTATTATGTATAATTAAGCGGTTCGTCACGCTTCGCATTAAACGACAATCTGGCAAAAAAACGTGTGCGCTCGTCTAACTAAATCTGTCATTTTGTTCAGCTGTCAAACAAAACTGGTAAAGTGATTCTTCTTAATTTCAATACAAGTACTAAAAAACGCTTGAGAGCAATTTCGAGTATGACGGAGGCGAGAAAATCGCACAAAAACTGGCGTGTCAAGATCCAAGTACGTTGTTCAAAAGGCGACGTAGTCGCCGCTGTTATTTGCTTGACTATGATTCGCGAATTGAGTCAAGAAATACCGCAAAATTTCCGCGGCTTTATTTCGACAACTAGACGATCAATAATTTCAAATTGTTTTTTTTTGGTAGTATTTGTATATTGATAAATTTACCGCATTCTAGTTTTTTTTTTTTTTTATTGATGACGCGAGAATAATTTGGCAGCTAGAGTTTAAAATATACATTTTTCAATAGATTTACGCATATAACACGTATAAAAAGTGTCACTTATAATCGTAATTATCCCAGCTTTGGGACGATTAAATGTTTAAAAATTTCACAAGCGTTTACAAAGTCTTTCGTTCAATGTGGTTTAAATTTGAAAGAAGCGACTATTTTCCTGGGAGGGTAACATGGCTGACCGGAATCGTTCCTGCTCCAGTACTCATAGAGAGAGGATAGCCAAGATTTCTTTTGCGCAGATCGACGTTATTTTGCACAAGTCCCGTTTGCACAAAAACTTTCTGGGCAGATCCTGATTGTTCATTATGATCATTTGCACAGAACATTATTGCACATGTTACACAGAGATGAAGCACTATGCATTGTGACATTAATGATATTAAGTGCGTTTATTGGCGCTTTATGCGCTATGAGTGTCAGTCTATATTTGTCCTACATTTAAAGAGCAATAAAGATTGACTAATGCTTAAAGTGCGGAAGCGCCCAAAAAACGAACGCATTCATTATAGTGACACAAGGTTAGGGTTAAGTTAGGTTAGGTTAGGCTTTTTCGGGAGGTGCAGGGGGCGTAAGTCCCCTCCTGCCCATACGCTTACAACACAAACATAAATAACATAATAAAGTCTTATTTTAATATTTTTCGGAAAACAATGGTCTATTTATAAAAATTTCTTTGTTAACAAGTTGTTAGTAAACGACAAGGATGACTTTGTTATACTTATTCAAGAAAATAATTTTTATAATATATAAAAAATAAGTACATGCTTCTGTGCAAAAAAGTTATTTGCGTAATATCGTACATGTGCAATCGGGATCTGCGCAAAAGTTTTCTGTACAAACGGGATCTGTGCAACAGTCGATCTGCGGTCAAAAGAAATTTTGGCAATCGGTGCCCTGTTACTTTAAGAAATTTTTTACAATATTATACATAACGCTGTTCCAATGTTAACCCGTATTTTTCGCTCATGTATATCTGGATATCCAAGGTTTTTCGCCGACGATGACGCAAGTGACGATTGAGAACGCGAATATTAAGTTATCAGTTATTATGTAACAATCCGTTTAACCAATTGTTCACACACAACGCGACGCAAGATTATATTTACCAATGCTATAAATAATTAAAAAAAAACCGAGTCGAGGTTTGTTCGTGTTATATTCTATACTTTGACTACTTTAAACACAATATAAAGTTTTTAAACAACGGTGGGTAATAGATGAGCAGTTCGAACCGAATGTAGGATGTTGTGCAATAATTCAGACTATAATAGGTTATCCATGTACGTTTCGATCTTTATTTTTCTAATCATCTTCAGTGGAAATTGATCTACACAAAGGTAACAAGATGGGACTTGTGTATAGGTAAACATTATAAAGATTACAAATGACATTACAGTAGTGAATATAAAAGTTTGCGTGGAATTATATAAAAAAAAATATATAAAGATAATTGGAGACGTATCTTAGGTCAACAATTCTTCACAAATATGTTATAAAAGTGTTTTTAAATTCTAGATAGTTGTCAAGTGTGATCAAATAAAGTCTAATTGTTAAAATGTTTCTAGTATAGAAGATGTGTCTGTAGAGTGACTACTGAGTAGAGATGTCGATATCGAACAAAAATATCGGATAATCAATATATCAACTAATCTAAAAATAATTCGTATCGAATCGAATAAACAGTCTCATTTGTCGAATATATATTGAATATTCTATGGACAACATGAAATGTTGGAAATTAGAAAAAAGAAGACTAAAAAAATTATGATAGCAATATTTTCAGAATTTTTAAAATAATAAAATAAAATGACCAAAGTTTTTAAATAAGTAATAATAAAGATCATAAACAAGAAACAATAAAAATTTTTTTAATTGCATTTCACAATATTGTTGTTTTCCGATATTTTAGAACAATAATTCCATACTAAACTCATATTGCTATGTGATCCACAGTATAAACATTGAAAAAAAATAAACAAAAGAATAAAACAAGATTCGTTTCTTGTCGTTGCATGTTTGGTTTGGTGCGCATGTGGCTCCTAGGACTAATAGGTTAGTTCATATACGCCATTCTGAGTCGTTGCATTGTTTTATTTTACTTTCTGTGCATAAACGTGAAAAATGCCCACTGCACATAGAACGCAGTAACGTGGGAGGAAATATCGCGATAGCCAATCAACGTTGTAACCAATCCAACTTTTATTGGGGGACAAACGTCTTGCGTATATAGGAATTTTTCTTAAACCTTGTGTCCACGCTAGAAATCGATCCGAAATCTCGAATGGAAAAAAAATTGACCATTGCATTCGAACAATTCGGCCAGTTGATCAATGCGATTGGCCAATTCTCTCTTCGTTCGAACATCGTGAACACAAGGCTTAATAAGTGAAAATATTCATTTTATACATATATACATATATATATATGAATAGCTAAAAACTATTTATTCGATTATGAAAAGCTAAAAACTATTTATTATCAGGCTGCTCTTGAAACCCTGATGAAGTGAGCTGAAATGTTCACGAAACGTCAGTATAAAAATGATACTTACGCGGTTCAAACCCGAAAAATATCTTTGAATATTTATTCGATTTTTTATTCATAAGTTTTTTATTCAAAATTTCGATATTAATATAACAAAAATATTGAATGTTTGATAATATCGAATATCAATAAACATCTCTAGTACTGAGTGGAACGACAGTAGTCAAGGACATAAATAAGCAAGGTGATGATAACTCTCTCTAGTTGAATTATAAGTGACTAGTGGCTGATTTGTAAAGGATCGGTAAATATGTGTTGTCTAGATTTTTAGTGTCTTGCATGATGTTGATGCAATTTTGCATGATGTTGATGCAATTGTAGTGTAATTTTATGTGCAACATCTCAGATGTCATTCTTTTAAAATAATTAGGTTCGTAGCATAGTCAAGGATGCGTGTTGATTGCCAATTGAAAAAATGTCCAATGTTGAAGCTATGTTCTGCAATTACTGAATTTTGATGATGAGATTTTGTATAATATATATGTTCTTTTATTCTGCTTGATGACTGTCGTTTTGTTTGTCCCACATACTCTATCTCACACGAACTACAATTGATGTTGTACACTATGTTTTTTCTTTTAGTTATAGGGACGACATCCTTGTGTGGTTTGATGTATTTGTTTAATTGGCTTAGGTTTCTATATAAAAGTCTTATATTCATTTTATTATTGTTGACATTGAAATGTTCTTTATTGCAGTCCATGGCTAGAGGTACACATGATAAGACAAAATGATGTATAGAGTTTTTCTGTTCAATGCTATTGGTCACTGGACATTCTTTATCCTTGTTCAGATTGGTGGCGAACAAAGATCTTAGCCTTCTGTTAATTGTTTAAAAAATGAATTGCAGAAGGTAGTTATTTTGCAATAAAATGTTGATACACAATATACATTTTTTTTAATCTTAAGGCGTAATTTACTCAAAATAGCGATGTGTGGGTTGACACTGTATTGTCTATTAGCGTCCAACTGTCATCTCTGATGGATCGAATTAAATATGTTATAAAGTTTTTATTCGCGCACGCCAAAAGTAAAAATTTTACGAAATTAAAACTTGAATCGTTTTGCGTTATTCACGTACGATCTTTTTCCGTCAAAAATATAAGACGCGGAATCTCTTTTCGAAGAAATCGAAGAATATTATTTTGTCATTAGCGTATTAAATATTCTACGCTCTGTATGTTTAATCATTCGTTTCGAACGGTTGACAAATGTGACGCGAGGAATACGATATTCGAACGTTTACAGTCGCTGTATCCTAATAAAATAATCAAGCTGGAATTGAGTCGGAACACTCACCTTGGCCTTGGTCGCCTTGTCCAGCGTGTGGCCACTAAATCGAATCGTGCTCTCGGTAGCCGCCATCTCCAACACCCCTACAACAAGCAGAAGGAAAGAGATCATTTCGGTGTCTGCAGAGCCAACATCTTCTTACGCGCAAATTATGTTACCAATAAAAATATCACCCGAACGAATTAGAAGGGTGAACGACATTCTCATTGCGAAATTGTTTGACAGCTCGTTAAGAAGAGAAATATCGAGAAGATTATTTCTGTACTCTGGGTGCAATCAACACGACATTGTCGTAAGTTGATTGCACCCAGAGAGAGACTATTCCATGGCTTCTTTTTATATACAGAGAGCGAGGCAAGAATATTACACTCGTTGTGCCTTTGACCCGTAAAATTAAACTTTAATCTTTCAAGATTTACGATCTGTGTTTTAAATTTTATACATGCATTCCAGTGATATAAATGTGAATTATGCTCCGTTGTATGTTTTAATTTAGCATACATATTTTTTTGAGAAAAAAGAACTGGCAATATATCGCACCTCGACAATATATTACATTTTTTTTATCTTCATATTTTTGCCACTGTTTTATATTTCTCTCACTATTATTTTAATAATAATTTTAATAAAAAGATAAAAAAATAATACAAACAATTTTTCAATTTTTGTTTAATTCAATTGTAATTACTTTTCAGCTGACGTAGGATTTCAATGTTTCATTTATAAATTAATTTTCTTGAAATCCCTTAAACCCTGGATAATTCCTTCCGAGGCAACGTGAGAAAATTAAACATTTCATTTACCGGCGTTAGTGGAAAATCGACGATAAACGCACTTAAGACAATTGATATTCATCATTGATAAAAAAACGAGTTCTAAACGAGACGAGGATTCAACTTGTATCGCGCATGCGTTACGCTCCTATGAACATTACATACTACCTTTTCAGAGAAAAGAAAAAAACGAACGGAGTTACACACCCGCGAAAGATGACGAAGCACACTGAATGCGCGTGCGAACAAATTGTCCCGAGGCGATTGTGGGCTCGTTGGACCGCGTTTGTATTTGAAGGCCGACGTGTAGAAAAAGTGAAAAAAAAAACGTCCGTCATACAATTGACTACATGAACGGTCTTAATGAGTCCCTGCTTCTCCAACGCAACGTGGACGCTAATTTTTTGCTCTGACAAGGTAGCCTCGTACCTAACGTCAACATGAAAACTGTTTGAATGATTTATCAAATAATCTTGTGTATATTGACATTTCGCAAAACTTTACAACTGTGAACGAGACAGTCGGAATAAAATAATTAATTTATCTAAAGAGACATTTTTCTAAGGATTTCATATTTATCTTTATTACAAAATAATAGCACGATCATAAGAACTAGCCATGAAATAATTATATAATGATCAATATGCAATTTATACACATTTTTACCGATTAATCGATTCTAATTTGACACTGAAATACTCAATATGTTTTTCGTCCTCCCTTTTTATCGGAAACCTATCAAGCATTTGGAATGGATATTGGATATTGAAGATTCCGTGTTCTCCCTCTGACACACGAAGACAGAAAGGTAATGGAATATATTTCACCGCGGCAGTTCAACTTGGGTGCGTTGCGATATGTACGTACATTGTTTCTCAACTAATTCGCTCCTTTGACACTTGAGCGCGGGATACGGGATTACGTGGCTCATGACAGGTACTCAAGAGTGACCTAATTATGACTGAGCCCGCTGCGTAACGAAGTTCCTCGCATGGCTCAAAGGGATAAACGATCCCTTGTTAATTGCGTGCTTTAGTGCGCATAATAGTTAGATCCAGTTACGACCTCGCATTAAATTTTTGAGGCAATGACGCTAACCACGACACGAGCTTTACAACAGATGTTAACCCGCAATTGAATCGCAAGGCCATTATCCTAACTGGATACGTCTGCATTTTTATGACTTCAAAATAATTAAAATTTCTAATTACACTTTGGTGCTGAATGTGAACGAGGAAAATGCAATAACATGATGTGGATCGTCACATTTATGATATAAATTACACATTGAAATAATAATATTTATGATATAAATTACACATTGAAATAATTAAGGAAGACCAGAGCTGGTTGTCACAGTTAATATGTAGCTTATTAAAATACAGGAAAATATTCTTCTTTATAACATAGGTTGCTATTATCGTACTACTGTCGTCATCTGTACATAATAGTTTTTATTGAAAGTACGACTATACTTGTTAATTATAAAACATAAAAACAGAAAGACACGAAAAACCGGAGACTACAGGTTCGACTCCTGGCCGAGATGTTTTTTTCGCAATATTTTAAAAATTAGTTAATTAGGGAGGAATACGGAGTTTTCTCATATACATGATGCAAATCTGGCATCCTATATGAATTTACAAATTGAAATTTCAGTCCGAAACTCACGTGTAAAATTTATTTAGTGAATGTAATAGATTACATATATATGTATACATACAGAGCGTCCGGAAAATCGCCCGCAATGCTTCAAAAAGTGATTGGGGATCCAAAAAGAAGAAAAAAAAGTTATATAAACATAGGTTCGAAAATAAGTCGTTTTCGAGTATAGCCACTATGTCTGCTTTAGCATCCCTCATTTTTTATTTTTTTATTTTTCAAGTCTTATTTTTTATTTCTTAAGTTGTTTTCAATTTTTTGGTATTTGTAAATACAATTACATTCTTCTTTAAAATTAAGGATAAACATACACAGATTTTCAGCACGAATGCAGATCCTTATTTTTTTATCAAAATAGCCCGAAATAAAGTTATTTATGTTAACACAACAGTTTATGTTAAAATACAATGAAATAAATTATAATTATGAAAAAAAAATAAAGAACGATTTTTAAACATAAAAGTGGCTATAATCGACTTATTTCCGGACTTAGGTTTATATAGCTTTTTTTCTTCTTTTTAGATCTCCGATCATTTCCCGAAGTATTGCGAGCGATTTTCCATTTACTCTGTATATATATTTCCGCAACAAATATCCAGCGTAGAACTCTTATTACCGTTTATACATATATTGTGTTTGAAAATTCAGAGCCTAAGATTCTTTATTAATTGTTAAAAACAGAAATTATTTTATAATTTTTCTATATAAAAGACATGTGACAACCAATCCTGAGTATAGCGTAAGGTGAATTTTCACGATTGTGCTTAGCACTAAATAAGCACTTTTTGTATAAAGATATATATAATTAATATTTTTTTCTGAAAACTAAAGGATATAACTAATATATATAATGTATCAAATATTACATAATATTATTACCGTGTACATTTTTTAAAATTATTTATTTTGGATGTTACTTTGTTCCCCAATTTCCCCCCTGTGTAAAGATATACGCATAAAAATAAATAACAACGAATCTTGAGGAATAAATGGTAATAAAAAAAACATCATTACTGAGAGAGAAATAAGAAATCGTGAGAGATACGTCAAGACCTCACTTGATACATCTGAAGTAGCAACGGAAGCACTATTACGTTATCTGAAGGTGCGACAAACCTCTCATCCGGTTTAGAAGAACGGCGTATCTGTAACCACATGCCAAGTGTGTTTACCATAATGCTAACGACAGTTCTTCATAGAAGAGGCACTCATTTCGAGGACAAAATTGCGTGGTGTCTAATGAATTATTATTACGCAATCATGCGTTGCACAGGTACCGCAATGTGAGCCACGGGAAAATTCGTTTCAACTTTGTATATTTGTTTCTTTCTATGAATTTTCTTTACGCTTGTTGTGTTCTTTGCAAAAAGTTTCATGCAAATAAAACCAGGAAAAATGATCACCACTTGAAAACTTTCAATCGTGTCGATTCTTGTTTTTGTATTATACTGCAAGGACTGCCACAATTTTAATTATTTATACTATCGCATATATATTGCGCATTAATCATTAATGCGAGACGAAAGACTCCGCATCAACTTTGTTGTTTTAACGAGCATAATTCGCAGACCTTGTTAGCTCGATGACAAAGCGCTAATTTGCGTTAATTTGCCGCATCTGTTTGTTCCAAAACTCGATTCAATAGGATTGACGATACTTAGCAAGCAATATTAATTTTGTAACGTTATCATTGAAATAATTGCCAATTAACGCAATACAACATGGTTCCGTCTATGAGACCCAGAGAATGTGATCAATACACGGAAACCCCTAAAACGCGATATCGATCGTTCGTACAAATTTTAATTTTGGGATAAATATATTAGCGTATAACAGACATTTTTTTTTTTTTTTTTTTTAAATCTTTCAGTGTGTTTGTTTCGTTACTGCTTCGAGTAAATTAAAAGAGTTTATTAAAGACAAAGAGTTGCTAAAACTTGACGCAATTAATTAACGATGTAATTTCAACTGCAATGCGGTAGACAGAGGTTCGAAACTACAATGTGACCAGATCTGGACACAAGGTTTCCCCTTGCGGTTTATTTTATGAGCGCTGATTAGACGCGATGTCAAGAATATTGCGGTATCGTAACTATACTACCTGTTAATTATCTCGGACATCGTATAGTCGTTAATCATCGTTGCGCGATACGTTGCTAACGGTCTGGGACACAATACGATCTCCACCGCGAACGCGCGGAGACTTGTTTAATCTCTCATCCGTTTATCCGACCTGTAGCTCGATACCACCATTTCTAGCTTTCTCTTCAAAAAATTTAGAAAACAGACACAATGTCGTTTTTGAAATGGACTGTTGAAAACACATTCGTATGACATGTGTGTGTGTGAACGCACAAGAGTAAAACGTTCTTCCGAGAATCGCAACCGCGGTCCGAGTTACGTGAACGTAACGACGACATTTGTTTGTCTTTCCACTTTCGAGTTGCGGAGTGATATTGATTGCTCTCATTCCCGAGCGGAGCGGATACTTTTGCGCGTCAGCAAACAGGAAAATACAAGTCTCGTCTGCGCAAATTGTCGTCGCGAATAATTGATTCGAAAATCACTCCAATTGCTTTTCGAGATAATTTGAGATCGACGATCGAAGTTTCTGCTCGCCGCACGAGCTCACACACGAATGCGATAGT